GAGACACAGGTTTGATCCCTGGGTCAGGAAGATCCCCTGCAGAAGGAAGTGGCAACCCACTCGTACTTAATCCCAGTAACTAGAGGTTTTGAAGACATGCTGCATCACTGAGGCCTGCCTTTGCTTTCATGACCACATCCCACAGTGTTGCTGACTTGGGGCATCAGGCTGTCTCTGTTCGCCCCTGGGAAGGCGTTCTTACCAAGGCTGAAAGCTGGGTTTGTGTGCTAGCATCTCCTGGGGAGTCCAGAACTGCCTGAATTCTGCCAAGGATGTGTGTGCGTTCAGAGCCGGTGTGGACCTGTGAGGATGCTGCTGCCCAGGTGCCCTGAGGGAGGCTTCTGCTGCCCCCAAGTCCTTCTTCCTGGTCATGTTGCTGACAGCAGGTATCCCTGGAGAAGGAGTGTGCTCACGAAGCTGCAGGATTCTGAGTCAGTGAACTGGCTGGCAGGGCTGGGTTGACATGGCCAGATGCTCAGATCCTACACTTCACCAGCTCCCTTTGGCTTCAGACTCTTGGCCCTGTCCCATGAACTTCCCAGGGCATGACTTGAATCTGCAGCCTAAGGATCATGTCCTGCTTGGGAGCTCAGATACCTCCAGTTGTGTTAGAACAGAGGTGATGGCTCCAAAGCAAGTTTCTCTTTGATAAATTTGTACATCCTGAGAGGTTCCTTTGGAAAATTCCTAAGAAGGTAGGCTGTACCCCAAACTTGGGGAAATGAGTTTCCTATGACATCCTGGGATGTCCTCAGTTCGTCCAGATCTTGGTCATCATCTGCTGACTGAGGGATATGACCTCTTATTCCCATTGCCCTTCCCAGGTTCTACAATTCTCCCAGTTCTAGCCGTCATCTACTCCCTGTTCCTTGGATGAACCAATCTTCACCTGGATAAGGTAATGCCAAGTGTAAGGGGCCTTGCTTTCTGTGTTTTTGTGCTGACATCTGACATGCATTTCCAGCTTGAATGTTCTTGAAATTTGGGGTTTGCAGCTGCGTGAAATAAATCACATCTCCCATGGTTTCAGCAATATTAAGAGTAAAAGAAATCTGCTGATTCCTGGAATTGAAGCCATTTTCCAAAAGAGATAATTCCACTTATTTTGTTAGCATACTTTTGATTATATTTGTATTTTCCCCTCCTCACTTTCAAAATGTATTTTTCCATCTTGCTATTTAATTGGTAAACTGCCACAAGTTCAAGTCTGAAGTTCTTAAAACCCACTGAAACTGTAACAACAAGTTCTGTCGGGTGGAGTTTTCTTGGCCCCAGAAATCTAGTGTCTTTCTTGGCAAAACTCATCATTTTACATTTTATGGTTGGTGTTTAGTTGTTTTGCCTAAAAGAGAAAACACTCTCAGTGGCAAGTATTCCCTCTGAACAGTTCTGTTATCAATTCTAATAAGTTTATGCAAGAGAAAAATGCACTGGGATTCCACTCAATTATTTGCTTTCTGCTAATAAGGATAAAGGCTGTGAAACTCAATTATTGTTTATGGAACAGGCTGTCAGGCAGTGATTTATTTCTAATGACAACAGGTGACACCAGGCTAGAACTTGGCACTGAACCATGCCTGGCAACTCCCCCAGTGGGGATCTGGTGAGAGGAATTTAACAAATTTCCATTTGAGAGGCGACTCTATTAAATGAAGAAATAGTCCTTCTGCTCCTCTTGAAGGAGATAATGGAATCCCCAAAGCAAAACTGCTTTGCAGAATCTATGACCCAAAGCTCTGTGAAGTTGTTAATGCCTCATTGCTGGGAGTTACTTTCACAGTTTTGAACTGTAACCGACCCCAAATTTATCTTGGACCAAAAAGTCTGCATTTCACAGAAGTAGGTAAGAAAAATCCTGCAGAAGTCTGGGAGTGGGCTGCGTTCAGGAAGACTGTCCCGGTTGTCACACACCAGGAATCTACTTTCTTAACACCAGGTCCCTGTGTTTTGGTTCATAAGAAAAGCAAAATAGTTCACCATGGTGATCACACACCAATCAGTTGCAGTTCTTCTAAATTCCAGAGGAAAAAATATAATCAATCCCCATCTCATCACTATTTTTGATAAACAGTTTCAGGTTCTGAAGACAGGGTTTCATTTCAGGCTTCTGAATAACTCATCAAGAATATAAAGCATCGGCCTATTTAAAAAAATACATTGTTCACGTAAAAACATCCTTTTTCCATCAGAGAGTTGACAAGGTTTTGACAAAAACCTGATGCTAATTTGCATCTTTCAGGAGAGGACCATCTTCCAGCCCCTTCCACAGTGTGCTGCCTGGTAAAAATGACACCCCCAAAGGGCTGCTATCTTCTTTCCTGTTCAAAGCAAGCCTGCTTGAAGGTTTGCCAAATGAAGGATCAATTTACATAACCGGAGGAGGTGCGTGTCACTAACAGGGTTTTGACTCAAAGTCCAATTTTCAGCAGCAAGGCATGCCAGGAAAACGTCCCAATTTCAATTGTCTAGTTCATCCTTGTTGCTAAGTTATGCTTTTGTAATTTCAGTATTTCCATTAAAATGTCACATCCACTGACATCTCAGATGAAAAGGTAGAGAAATTTGATAGGAAATACAGAGCATTATAGCAAACTTCATTCAAACACCCAAGCTTGAAATCTAACTTGCTATTATCAAGTATTCTGGGAACCATGCCTGCTAGTTGATGGCAGGAGAGACAGCCCCCAGCTCAGAAACCAAACACGGGAAAATGAAACAGAAGATGCCTGAGTAAAGCAATAAGCAGCAGAATTAACCGGGTCATATATACAATCCCCTCCTTTTATTTCAGGAGTTTGGGTTTTTCAGAGCAAGGGGAAGGCACTGTCAAGGGATATCACCTGCACGTCCAGGGAAAGTGGACCACCGAAAAGGAACCCATGAAAAAGCCAAGAGGGCAAAAAGAGAACTGGATTTCCCAGAGATTTCTATCTCTGAAATGTATTTTGAAATTATTACCTCTCCACTAGCTGAGGCTGGAAGTGACAATGACCTTCGGATGACCGTGTCCTGTTCTCATCCCATTTCAAGAGGGTTCCATTCTCACCACAGCCATACCTGCATGGATCTTAACACAGAAGATCCATGTTCCAAGATGTAACTCAGCCCTTCGCCACAAGATTCTTGGGGCCCCTGGGGGGACACTTAGTGTCTGTGAGGACACTAAGATGCATATCAATGGCCCTGCATCTCTCTGGCACAGTCATCTTGGGCAGGCTCATCTGTTTCTGAATATGGAGGTGACTTGGGGAGACAGTGAACCGGGCAGGTGAGTGAAACATCCACAGGAACATGAACAACATCCCAGCCAGACGAGATGCTTCAGGGAGCCCTTCTGGGTTTGTACTGTATATCTGACCCACCCCAACAGTGATGCAAAGGGAACCTTGAACTTGGCACACAGCAAGAGAAAGGATATTGCCTTTAAACCCTTCTTGTGATGACCTCAAGTTAAAGGCTTCTGCTTTTCTTTGCCAAAGTCCTCAAATAAATGATAGCAAGTGTGGAGTTCCCCAAATAAGGAAACCACCACACACCTGACTCATCACCAAAGACTGAACATGCCAAAGGGCAGAAGCATGGAGGTCAGCAGCTGTTTCAGCTGGGTGTGCTCGAGCTTTGGTGGTTCTGCACACAGAAGCTCATGGTTCCAAAGCACAGGAAAAAGCAGAAATTCCCTCACATCCTTGGAGAGCTGGTCGGGGATATGGCCACCGAGCCATGTCTCTATTTCCCAAAAGAGTAATCAGCAACCTACCTTCAGGGGAGACTTGGAAAAAGAAACAATTAAGCCAGTGAAAGAGAATCTGTTTTTCTCCTTCATACAGTGTTTATTCATTTTGGGTAAGAGTAAGTGTATGTGATGATAACCAGCTCCATGACAGAACATCTCCAGGTTGATCTGTGGTTCAGCACCTACTATGTCTCTCCTGCTGGAAAGAGGATTCTTTAGGCGGAGGCAATGGCTGGAAGCAGGCTGCCTGTACCCCCACCAGGCACAGGACCCTGGGCAAAGTGTTGACAGAGGTAGTTTTTACTTTCACACCCATAGTACTATGCAAGTATTGAGTACAAAGAGTACGCTTCCTTTGCACTTGAAGGCCTTCTGTCTTCAGAAGAGGCTGGTGAAGACTTGAGTGATCATCTCTTTCTAGTAGAGTCCAGCTCTCCTTCAGATCACAGGGAGACCCAGGACTTCCCAGGTGGTGCTAGTGGTAAAGAACCCCCCTGCCAATGCAGGAGATGCAAGAGCTGTGAGTTCGATCCCTGGGTCGGGAAGATCTCCTGGAGGAAGGCGTGGCAACCTGCTCCAGTATTCTTGCCTGGGGAACCCCGTGGACAGAGGAGGCTGACAGGTGACAGTCCATAGTATCACCAAGAGTTGGACACAACTGAAGCGACTGAACATGCACTCAGAGCACAGAGAGACCCAGAAAAGGGGCCTGATGCTCTCCTTCCAACTCTGAAGGGGGCAGGATGCTTTTTTATCATCAGGCCCCAGACTACTTCTCCTGCTGTCATATTGCAAACCTTCTTGTTATCACTTTGACTCAGGCGGATCCTGGTACAAAATACCCTTAAATGTGATCAATACAAAAAGCTTCCCATTAGCTAAGAAGAGTTAAACAGTATATGCACTTATTTCTCCAGAGATAGAAGGGAAAAGAGAACAAGCCAAGGCTTGTGGTTGGTTTCTTTTTTTTCTGGCGGGGGGTGGCTCACCCACATAGTTTGGCATAACCAGCTACATAAAGCCTGAAGCCCAATTCACTCTGTTTTGATTAAGAATGAGGTGCTTTTTTATTATCATTTTCCTTGGAAGTAGGGGAGAAAGAGGAAGCTGTTAAGTCAAGGATCAAAATACAGTGAATCTGGAAGGCATCTGGGAGCAAACAGAAATTTAAGACTAATGCGCACAGGAAGACGCCTTGCCTTATAACCCCTGCCTGCTGCACTGAATCGTCTTAATTGTCGAGTTCACGGTCACTAGGCTTTTCTCTTCATTTCCAGCGATGCCGGACGAGCGAGGACTCATCGTTGACCACCTCGGGATCTCGGGGGTGATGCCTACACCGGACCGGAAGTAGCAGCAGGGTGATTAAAACAAGAAGGATGACTCCACACACGCTCATGAGAGTATAGGAGACGATCCACAAAATGGGCTCGTTCAACGGCAGGGCAGGGACGCAGTTGCTGGCTATGTCCTCCGTTGAGAAAGGCCCAGAAATTTCAGACACCGGAGCACCTGCGATTTCTGAGGAGACAGAAGGGGGAAAAGCCACAGCTGTGAAACGAGCAGTCATCCCTATCACATGACCCAGGACATAACCTTTTGCTTTATCGGCCACAGTCAAGTCACACTGGCTGTCACGTTCCGAAGGCCCCAGTGTCTGAGCACACACCAGGGGAGTCTCGGTGGCCATGTGCCTTCAGAGGGTCCAGTCCCCTTCTTCCTGGAGTGACAGCGTGTCTCAAGGTCTGCAGGTGCTGAACCCACATGGCAGAGAGCAATGTGCAGAAGGATACAGAAGCATCAGGTCCTTCACGACAAGAATGGAGCACCAGGCAGGTGAGCATGAACCGCTGGTGAGCCGCATGGCTGTGTGCCCTCAGCGGTGGTGAGCAAGGAAGAGTAAGAAGCATCTAGAACAGAAAACTCAGAATCATGGGGATTTACCCTGTGGAGTCACCCTGAGTTCACGCTCCGTGGTAGATTCCATAGTAGGTAACATGCCTACATCAGCCCGACCCACACTCCTAGTGGGTTCCAAGACCAGTGGGGTCAGCCTGGCCCAGGAGACGCTTCCCCACCCCACACTTGCCCCATACTTGTCCTCGGTCACATTTCCAGTGTACACAGTGCCCAGAATCAACAGAGGTGAATGAGGGACTTCCCTGGTGGTTCAGTGGTTAAGACTTTGCTCTTCCATTGCAGGGGGAGTGGGTTCAATCCCTAGTCAAGGAACTAAGATCCCATATGCCTTGAGGTGAAAAAATAAAGAGTGTTAAATGAGTATACTAGTGGATTTAGGATGTAACTGGTAACAAGGAAAAAAAAACACCCCAAAACACAGCTATAATTCTACCCATTACTTTTGCAAACTGATGCCTGAAAAGCATTCTCCCTGGAGAAGGACTTCGCGAAGCAGATCTGGGGATCCCTGATATTTCATTTGTCTGTACTAGGCTGATCTGCTCCTTTCAGAAGTATAGAATTTGCTTGGCATCTCAAGTTTTACTTGGAAAAAGAAAAAGGCCTCATGACCCATTTAAACTGACTGCTAAGCATTTAATTTTCCTATAGGTAAAGCCTCAAGATCCTAAGGCCTGCCAAGTAAAATCCTTTTTGACCAAGGGAAGAAAAAGTCAAAATAATACCTTTAAAGGTATGGTCTAAAGTGAGGGAAAAGACAAACGTGGTTGCTTTTTCTTACTACAGATGTGGATTCTGTTAATATGGATCCATGGCTTTTTCTCCTCCCAGGTAGCGCTAGTGGTCAAGAGTCTGCCTGCCAATGCAGGAGACATAAGAGATGTGGATGCCATCCCTGCATCAGGAAGATGCCCTGGAGGAGAGTATGACAACCCACTCTGTACTCTTGCCTGGAGAATCCCACGGACAGAAGAGCCTGGAGAGCTACAGTCCATAGGGTCACAGAGAGCTGGAAATGACTGAAGTAACTTAGCATGTAGCATGCCTGACGTTTTCTGAAAGTACAGGAAGAGAAAAGCAAGAAACAGGGCATGCAAGCACGTATGAACAGAGGGATGCTGGCCTTCTGTTCGTCTAGACGCTCAAGTGCCTACAGCCATCCTCAGCTAACGACAGAAAGAAAAGTGAAGTGTTAGTCACTCAGTTGTGTCAGACTTTTTGCGACCCTGTAGACTGTAGCCCACCAGGCTCCTCTATCCATGGGATTCTCCAGGCAAGAAGACTGGAGTGAGTTACCATGTTCTCCTCCAGGGATCTTCCTCACCCAGGGACTAAACCTGGGTCTCCTGAATAGCAGGCAGATTCTTTACCATTCGAGCCATAGGGAAGCCCCTAGAGCATTTAACAAACATTACATAACAAGGGCTTCCTGGATGGCTCAGTGGGTAAAGAATTCACTCACCAGGTAGAAGATGCAGGAGACACCAGTTAGATCTCTGGGTCAGGAAGATCCCATGGAGAAGGAAATGGCAACCCACTCCAGTATTCTTGCCTGGAGAATCCCATGGACAGAGGAGCCTGGTGGGCTACAGTCCTTGGGGTCACAAAGAGTTGTATACGACTAAGCATACACATTGTTACATAACGAAAATAACCTTTATTACAAAAGCAATAGATATAGTATGGTAAAAATTTTGAAACTGTAAGTAAATAAGGAAATAAAAACACGCTCAAAATTTACCACTCAGAAATAGCCAATACTGACATTTTTTCATATAGTCATAGGCATCAATTTTTTAAAACAAAGATGGAATCATGCTGTTCTATACACTGTATTTTCACTTTATATGTGATAGGTCTTTTCATAGCATTTAATTTTCAACCATGCTGTCTTTATGATTACACAAAAACCATATTATAGATGTATCAAATCTGCTTACCAATCTCTGAGACCATTTAAGTGGTTTTTAATATTTCCACCACTGTCAACACTGAAATGTAAAACATCATGTACCTAAGTCTTTGCCCTTATTCATACTTTGTTTCAGAATGAGTTAATAAAGTAAAACTATGGGTCAAGGTATGCCCACCTGATATATGCTGGGCATATGACATATGCTTGGCATCTGGATATATGCTTACAACATACACACAAGAAAGGCTGAGACACTACATGCCCATCAAGACAAGTTGGGGTACCACTTCTCACACGCTTACCGACATCAGCACCTATAAGGAAAAACGATGGTTCTCAATCCAAAATCATGTCTGTAGTTCTCTGATTACCAGTTGGGGGCCCATTTGAAAAACACACTCATTGGCCATTTCTGTTATAATTCCTATCTTTTTCTCATGGATTTGTAAGAGTCATGTATATAGTAAAAACTTTCTTTTGTTGCAAATGTCCTTCCACAGTAGGCCATCTGTCTTTTCAAAGATTGATTTACTTTATAAATAGAGAAGCTTTAACAAGCAATTATGAGAATGAAACATGCTTGGTGGAAAGATAATACCTTAATAGAACAGAGCACCAAGAAATGAAAAGTCACTTGAAACCACTTCTGTTTCCAGACAAGATGGAAGACAAGATTTACCCTTCCACCTGAAACAACTAAAATAGACAAAAAAAAAAGAAAAAAAGACTCTGAAGACATTAAAACTTGGGTAAAGAGACACAGTAAACCCTGAGGGATGGAAACTGATGGAGCCAGCCCCCCAGGTGCCCATCTTCCTACATTGAGAGAATTTCTGGGCAGTTGCACAGACAAGGGTGTCATCCAAGTTGGGAGACAGGCAGAAACCTAGAGAAGCAAGGGCTCTTGGGGTTTGCAGGTAGCGTGATGCAGGGGAGAGAGGGCTACACAGTGAAACCCCACACATCCCCAGAGGACTTCCCCTGAGCAGTCAGCGCAGTGCTGATCATAAAATGAATGAGGGCCAGTGAAAGAACCACTTGGAAGGATGAAAAGAAACGATGCTTGGAGCTCACGCAAGAATCATGTGAGCTCACACAACAATAATAACTCTTATGCTCACATAAGAATAATGACTGTGGCTGATTATTTCCTGTTTCCCACAGTGAAAAACAAAAATCCAGAAAAACTCACTCAATTCACAGGGTACTTAGAGTACTAAAGGTCTTTCCTTTGTAGTAGGAAAGATTATCCCTAGACTAACACTACTCTGATGCCTCTGATAAAGCTTAAAAGCAAGACAAAAGAGGATCAAACTCTTTATAAGGAAATTAATTGTGACCCAGACACATCTCAAGAGTATTTTAAAGAACACAAAAGTATTCAGCAACCAACAGGGTAAAATTCACAATGTTTGCCATCTAATACAAAATTACCAAGATGCAAAGAAATAGAAAAATTCATAACAGGGAAAGATTAATAAATTAAAATTTAGGAAGAAATGACACAGGTGATAGGATTATTAGCAATTGTATTAAGCCAGTTATTATTACTCTATTCTACTGAGGAAATAATAGACAAAATATTAGTCACATTAAAGAGAGACATGTGCTCAGTTGTGTCCGACTCTTCATGACCCCATGGACTGTAACCACAGGCTCCTCTGTCCATGGGATTCTCCAGGCAAAAATACTGGAGTGGGTTGCCATTTCCTTCTCCAGGGAAACTTCCCAACCCAGGGATCGAACCCACATCTCCTGTGTCTCCCACATTGGCAGGCAGATTCTTTACCACTGTGCCACCTGGGAAGTCCTAAAATACAAACTATAAAAAAGACATAAATCAAACTTCTAGGGATTAAAAACTACATTACATGAGATGAAAAATATACTGAATGGTGTTAATAGCAGATTACACATTGGAAAAAAAAAAGATAAGTGAATTTGAAAACATAGCAATATGAATGATTAAAATGAAACAAAGTAAAATACTGAAGAAAAATAGAAAATCAGTAAACTGTGGGACCACCCAAATAACAGGAGAGGATGGGAGGCAGAAAGAATAGTTGAAGCAACAGTAACCAAAATTTTCCCAATGGGATAAAAACTATAAACCCAATGATCCAAGAGACTCAGAGAACCCCAAGTACAAGAAACATGAATATACTAGTGAGTTGCTGATAACCAGTGTTAAAGAGAAAATCTTTAAAAGAGAGAGAAAAAGAAATATTATGTACAAAGGAACAAAGAAAAGGATTATAGAGGATTTCATGTCAGAAACTATACAAGCTCTAAGAGTGTAGAGTGATATCTTTAGAGTACCAAGGGGAGAAACCCAGCCAGCCTAGAATTCTATCCCAAAGAAAAATATTTGTCAAAAGTGAAGATAAAGCAATGTTTTCAGACATATACAGGCTGGAAGAATTTATCATAAGCAGACATACACACACATATACACATGTATTCATATTGAAATATTATTCAGTCTTAGAAGGATATCTTGCCATCTGGGCAACATGGATGAACCTGGAGAATACTGCTAAATGGAATAAGCCAGACAGAAGGACAAACACTGCATGATCCACTTACATATAAAATCTAAAAAAGGTCAAACTCATAGATTCGGAGAGTACAATAGTGGTTGCTAGGGGCTGGAGGCTACAGGTAAGGGGAGATATTGGTTAAGGGA